AGGACTCCCTGGATGGCTTGTCCTTCCCTCACAAAGATCTGGACCAGCTCGTCATCACAAGGCTGGTCGAGGTGTATAACAGTATTCTTGCCGGTAGCAGGACGTCCCCGGTCGGCTAGTTGAGCACAGCATGAGCCATACGCCCACAGCACCAGTGTCGCCAGGAACACAGCGACCGGCTCGTGGAACGCATGGCTGGTGTTCCCCCGCGCATGGAGCAGGGTTGCACCGGCATGGATGATCGTGAGACGGGCCTTGTATTGGTCATGTTTGACCCATCGTAGTATGTAGTGCCATTCCAGGCTCTGTTGACGCTCGCTCCAGCGAATCTTTTCCGTCACGAGCGAGTGGGCTAGCGATCGAATTTCACGGAAGGGTGCAAGTAGAACGATCCGAGCCGAGTGAAGATGCTGGATCGTTGGGTTGCGGAGATCCGCCGCTGTAGCGACCGTGCTGTTGGCGGCCCAGTGGAGTATGTCCAAGGAGTCGCATGCACTGTTGCGCCATTTCGAGTACGAGGGAATCCCGGGAAGCCAGACAGAGCCCGAAGGGATCGCCGTTTGCCGAGACTGTTTCTTAGCGGTCGGGTTCCAGAACGACAATGGTCGGCGAAAGTAATCGCCGACTTCCCACATGCGTTGGTAGAGAGCATGAATCAGCAGGATATGGCCCAACTCCCCAAGATCGGGTACTAGTCTCTTTTCAATGTACATAATCAATACTGCATCGTATAGGGAAAGCTCGGGTTGGCCTAAGACATGTTAGACACTGAGATCGTACTGCACAAATGGCTGTTGTACCTGGACTCTGTTCAAAAATTCCTTGCCAGGCATGAGCTGACTCTGCTTGCCAGAGACTCTCGTGAGCAGGAAGCGCCGCTTTCGCGTCCTCAAGCGAAAAGGATGGCTGTCGATCGAAGTGATAAGCTATAGTACAGTCCACAAGCTATGGCACCTGTTAGCAAGTTCCTGGCATGTTGATACTGTCTAGGCATTATACCCATACTAAGTAGGCCGTCCGTCGTCTGACCTCGTCCTCAATCCAGACCAGCCAGTTCTGCTCTGGTGACTTGTCATGCGATACTGATTTCAATTGTCGGGAAGATTTCAAGAGCTTGGTGCGATTCAACTGACTGGTCAAATCACCGAACCGATCGAGCGCAGAGACTCTAGCCCTTTCATCACTGTTGTAGAGCAATCCAATGCAATTGAGAAGGTTTGCTTGGATAAGCCAGAGTGGTGCCTGGTCTTGGTAGGATTTTTCCTTCTATTCATCTCTGATTAGTTGCAGGCAGACCGTAAGAGCACAAAATCCTCACCTCAACCATGATAGCTCGACGAAGAAGCTCATGGAGCGCAGAAACACATTCGTCTGAATCGTGGAGCCTAGCATAGTGGCTACCTATTGCCGCCAACGCCAAAGTCACTATCCAGTGACATGTGTTTGTACTAAATGTAGGAAGGTGAAACATAGGATAGACGGGTTGGAAATGGTGAAAGTACAGGTGGACAAATTCGGAAAGTACAGTTGCACTTGGCAAATACTCGGACTCGAATCGCGAGAAAAGGACACTCTCGGCGCAACACAGCTGAACGAAAGCTTTGTGAATCTTCTCGTAGGTGGTTATCCCAATCAGAAAACTTGGACCAATTTGGATATCGTGCATGGCGGTGTCTTCGATCGTAGGGAACATATATTGACGGGGCACATTTTCTCTGCCACGAGAACTGAAGCCATCAGGGGAAATTGCGGAGAAATCTGACCAGACATCTTGGTGCCGTCTGGATTTTGACAGTCGAGGTTGAGCTGTGTCCTCTGATAGGTCTGCCGGTCGTTTCGTGGCGCTGGAGAACGTTGAACGACTCGAGTTGTTAGGGCTGTTCTCGTCACTGATTAGTGAAGTGTGTCCTAACGGAGATTTGAAAATATTTTCCTGACTTCCATTAGTCGGATGGATCACCGGCGGATACCATGTTGCATAGTTCATGAACCCATCACGGGCTTCATGTCCCGCGTGGTTCGCTGTAGGAGTGCGTTCGATGAATGTATCATAGGGCCCCTCCCCAGGAAGCCAGTTCATCGCAGGAACAGCTGAGTTCATCGTGTCCAAGAATGGCCCTGATGATCCGAGCTCTCCCTGCTGTGCTATTGTTGGCATGCTCGCGTCATTGCCATGACTGGCTGAAACTGGATGTGGGACGCTCGCTGAGCTCATGGGCTCGGTTGTCTGATTCAATAAATGTATGCCCTGGATAGCAGATAAAGACCTGCGTGATCTTGCTTGGTCGGAACTGTCGCCAGTAGGTCCACGCGTCGTGACTTGGGTCATATCAGATTTCCCCCTGGAAGAGATTAAGTTGGGCCGAGTTGACTGTTTGATCGCATTGACCTCTTGCCCGTTGTTATGAGAGCCGTTCAATAATTTCTCTGGGGCCTCGTCTTGATGTGAAGCAACCGGATCTACGGACGGCGATTGGTCATTTCTATTGAGGAGGTCGGGCCCTGGCAATTGAAGCTGGAACTGTGTCATTTGGTAATGAAGAGGCTTTTCAAGGGACGTGTCCCCGCTGTGCGGGGAACGTGCAGCAGAACCTTCAGCAGATGTCGATGTTATAGCAAAAGAAGACTGCCCGTTGAACTCCTCGTCTGGGATCAAGCCTGACTGCACCGCTTCTTTTCGAGCTTTAGCTTTCGAACGTCTCTCAGTTGGGTACAGACATTCGAGAGATCGGTTCTCGCAGCGCGCACATGGCGTCCCGCCGCTGCATCGCACTCGTGCAAGTGCGCATTTGAAGCACGCCCGGAATGTCTTTACTGTGATACGATGGGTGCGATCCTTTCCACCTTCAATTCCAGCGTTGTGGTGGCTGAGCTCATGCCGGTGCAATGTATCTCTAACCAAGGCCCGTGTTAGTCCCCGCTGAAGACGAAGGCGACGAATGAGAATAAGAGAGCATCTAAGAATGCAAGATAAGACGGCAACATACGTTCTCGAGAAATGGCGGCCACACTGCGCGCACTCGAATGGCTTCTCTTTCGTATGACTGCGGAAATGGCGCTTTAAATGCTCCGGTCGTCGAAAGGTACTCTGGCATATTGAGCACTTCGTCAGGCTCGCTGTGGAGCCCTGTTGCATTTCTTGATCGTAGGAGTCACCTTCATCCTTTGCTGCTGCCTCCTCAGATTCATGGTGGATCAGAGCTTCTGCAGAGCCAGAGCTCAATTAGTGGACTCAATCATATCAGGTTCGAAACGAGAATCCAGCGCACCTTGCCCAGCGTCGCTCTTCACCGAGGACATGGCGTCGCATAGACGAATTTTGATTCAAACACGATCCGAGCAAGTCATGCATGGCAACAGATAAATTGGCGATGTAGACAGGTTACGGAGTTGAGAAGCGAGGATCATCACCAGACAAACAGCAAACTAAACCCATTGTGCCATGTGGTAACACCCTGGTCGCATCTGATCGGAGGAGATAGTACCCCACGAAAAATGACGAGGAATGGGAAAAACAAAAAAGAAAGAGAGAGAGAAGAGAAAAAGAAGCAAAGAGCTGGCGGGGGAAAGTGATGATCGAACAATAGGAGTGCAGCAGGGAAGTTCAGGGACTGCCACTGCCCCGGACCAAGTCACGTCGTCTCATCCTTTGCAGCCTTTCGAGGAAGCGGGGAAATGAACGGTCCTAAATCGAGCCTAACCGTTTAGCGGCGCTTTTTGGGGTCTCCGGGGCCCACGAGTCGCCCCAGCCTCCGCATGCTCGCATGCTCGCATTGGCGCAGTCGGATTAGTCTTGCATCTTTGGGGCCTCGGTTCGGTCGATTTTTCCGCCAGTCGTCGGTTAAATATCCGCATGTGCCCCGGATGCTGGAGTACCCAGTATACCACAGTGTAACTTGTAAATTGCGATAAGTATGTGGTCAAATTGGTTGCTGCATTTGTCGTGACGCTCTTCCCCTGTGCTGTCAGTCTTTGTCAATGGAACGTATGATGCAGAACAGTATGTGGTGTGGAAGGCTTCAATATTCCTCAGTGAGTTGTTTCGACGGGTATTCCCAAATAGCCGAGAGAGAGTGCAGAGACTTGACTGTTGTTAGGAGGTGTCCTTCTTGCGACACACATCATTATGTGTATAGCACATAGCCATGGCAACGTCAGACCAAGAGTAGTAAATCCTGTCTAGAACGACTACGGTGTAATTATACGAATGAGCAATAACTACTCCGTACTGCTCCAGTTTTGCCAAGTCAATCCTTGATGTTGCTAGCCGTAACTTATTGGAGATTAACAGTGTACTTTAAACAAGAACCCTCAAATCCTGGACAGATAGCTATTGAACAGAGCTTAAATCCGAGTCCACTATAGCTCACCGTGAACAGCACTAGCATCACACTGTTTAGGAGTGCTGTACATAGTTCAAGGTTGGATATGACTCTAAGTCAGAATGACCTTGCTGCTCCTGACTGGGAAGCGCATTGATTATTTTGCCCTGGGCTGGGCAACGCACGGACGCTGTCTTGGATTAGCTCAGCAACGCTACAGCCAAACTCCCCTAAGCCTGAGATGGAAGAAGCTTTCCGGTCTGAGTCTAGCGCCCTACTACCTACAATCAACCCCCTACCTCTATCAATCGATCTACTCCGTACTATTCACCTCTCTCCATTGCTCGAATGACGTTGTCGTGAGAAAGGATCCTTCCTACCAACCTAAACCGACTCGAGAGGAACGGGCAGCGGCGGTACTTCTTCTGGTCCTGACTCTCCCCCCCACCCGCGCGAAACCTTGGAACGGGCATTCCTGCCTAGACATGAATGGCGAGTTCGACACCCGCTCTGGACCGCCGGCTGTCTCCCCATGTGTCCCCCAGCCAAGTGAGCAGCGCAAGCAGCACGGTGACAGCTCTTCAAGGAGCGACAGCAGCTTTTAATGCAACAAGGTCTGCAAACAGACGCCCCCCTCTTGCCAATCACCAATCTGGTGCCCAAAAGGGATCGTTCAACATGAACTCTTATGCCTCTGAGTTAGCCTCTCTTCGCAGCAACCAATCTCCAGAGCCACCCGAGATTGGTTCAGTCAAGGACAAGATTGGCAAGTTCAGTGCATACGGAAAACCTGACGGCTCTAGGGACGCTCCCCTCAAAGTACCGGGGGACATAGGGGGCCTAAGACCACGTACCCCGCAGCAGATCGCCGCCCAGCTTGCGGCGGGGAGATCCACGCCTAGCAAGAAACCAGCTCCTACTCCACGCAGCAGCAGCAGCGCCAGTGTTGACCTTCCAATAAGGCCTGGCGGAGAGCGCGAAAAACCACAGCTCCTAGCACCGAAGCCTGTGTGGGCCACAGCTGCGAGCAAGGCCTCATTTGAGAAGATCTTAAAAGACGAGCAGGTCCCTCGACTCGGAGACAAGCAAATCGAGCGAAAACCTGTCAGGCCGGGTTCTGCTCTATCGGACTTTGCGCAGCTGGCTGCAGCAAAGTCTCGACCACCACCAGTGCCTCGAAAACCTTGCCTGAATCCTACTAGCATCGATGTCAATCCGGCATCGGAGAAACCGAAGAACCTTCCCCGATTGCATCCAGCACTCCCTTCGGGAGATCCTATCAGGCCCGACGAAAACCCACCATCATTACCCCCGCGACCGAGCGAAACACCATCATCATCGAGAATAGACCTGGCAGGTCATCGAGCTCTTCTGAGCAGTAGTGATGGCCGACCGCGACCCTCCAGTCCAGCCTCGGCGTCTATGTATGCGAAATCAGTGACCAACAGTACTCCGAGCCTACTTGATAGTACCTCTGAAGGAGTACTGTCAGATGCAATTGTAGCATCCTCATTAGCATCCACCCGAGCTTCACAGGAGAAGAAAAACGCCCCACCTCCACCACCCCGGCGTCGGCCCCGGTCACGTTCAATCGTGCATCTGGGCCACACCAAGAAACATGATCACCCGCAATCGTCCAGTCCTTCTACTGTGCTACGGCAGACGCTTCGACATCCCAGCAGCTCGGATGAAGATGAGGGGTATCGCCAGCATAAACACATAATACGCAAGCACCCCCACAAACATCATGAAGGTGACCGAAAGCGTTGGCGGAGTGAGGTCAGTGAAAAAGACCGGAAGAAGTACGAAGGAGTCTGGGCGGCAAACAAAGGATTGCTTGTGCCTTTGCCGTCGCAAGTCCCACCCGGCTCATTGCCCCCCGACGCGTCCGAGATGGTAGTCAACCTTGTGGTTCGCGACATCTGGTCTCGCAGCGAGCTTCCATCGCATGTCTTAGAGCAGATCTGGGACCTGGTTGATCATCAGAAGAATGGACTTTTGACCCGCGAGGAGTTTGTGGTGGGGATGTGGTTGATCGACCAGCAGCTAAAAGGGCACAAGCTCCCCGTGCGGGTCCCTGACAGCGTTTGGTTCTCCGTAAAGCGGATATCAGGGATAAGAATACATTCGCTGCCGCCGTCCTGAAACTGATCTATAGGGGAGCTTGCATTAGACCAGTAATATCTGGTTGCAGCCCTGGCTATATAGTGCAATAAATTTTGGTTAAAAAATTCGTTCAGACCTAACCGGCTAACTCTAAGACTCGATAGTCAACGCCTGGACCTACCGTACCGGACGCTTTACATGTACCACACCTCCTAGGATGGTGGCGACGGCCGGCGGGACTTTGCAGCTTCTGTGATTGATAAGGCCCTTGTGCTGCAGTACTTTTGTTTAAATATTCTGCCCAGTGTCGATCGACCCAGTCTACATCCACCACCCCATTCGGCAAAGGTTAATCCTCGGGATTTTCGCGGAGACCGGCTGCGATCGGATTGCAGGTTGGCCGGCAGTCAACAAGCAATCGCCTCTTTTCTGGCAGATGCTGTTCATGCCATCGGCAATGCGAGAATGCCCAGAGACTGCATTGCATTCCAGAGCCTCGACCCGACCCGCAATAATGATCGGATTGAATGTGCAAGACAACAGATCTTCACGTGACATCAGACTGGTCATTCCAGACGGTCAATGCAGCTTACCGGAACAGGAAGGAGCTTAGTCCAACTTAAATTGCTGTCGGTCGATCGATCAAATGAAATAAATATTGGAAAAAAGAAAAAGAAAAGCACTTCGATTCACCAATTTTACACCGAATCAGTGAAAGAACCACAAATCGTGCTTCAATTCTCCGAGTTATGCTAACAATGCACGAATTGGGGAAAAGCAACAATACTTTTTTCGCCTTGTGCAAATTGACTATTTGACTAATCCACGCACTTGCTGCGCGCCACTCTTGGAGGATCGTCTGTCAATGGAAGCAAATCCCGAAACACCCACGCTTCGGGATTTGAATCTATGGACCTCGAGGATGAGTAAGCCCGCCGCCGCTCACTCACTCACCAGTCCAATCCAAACCAAACTACAGCCCAGTTCGCCCGATAATGCTACTGTGTACGAGTATATCAGACCACTCTTAGGATCTGTCGATTTACCCACCCAACCTCCCCCCCGATTCGGTTGGCTACCCCGGAAAGCTCCTGGATGGTTATTTCTGCGTGTTTCCCGTCTCATTCTCCCCAGTAGTCCTCGAGTTATGCGCTCCTGGAAAACCTCTATTTAGATCGTGGGTGATGGTAGCACGCCCTGCGGCCGTTGCATGATCTTCCTACCATTTACTCATACTACCCGCTGCAGCTGTGTGTCTCCAGTTCACACCCAAAATGGCCCTGGACGATTCCCAGCAGCCGTACCAAGATGATGGAGTCACGGCAGTTACACAGCCTAGAGCTTCCAAGCCCGCGGTTGTCCGCAAGAAATTTGCAAAGCCTCCAGTCAAAGTAGCGTGTCTTGCGTGGTAAGTGGCGTCGCATCCACCTGGAACTTTGTGCAAGCACTGAGCTTGGTTTTGGTTGCAAGCGACTTGGAATCTTCTCGTCTTGCCGTTCATTGCGACTGATTGATTGTCTATCTCAGTCGTGCTTCCAGAACGAGATGCGATGGACAAGACCCCTGTACAAACGTATGTATTCTCCCCTCCACAATTCGCAGTTTTCCAGGCCATAGCCTTCATCTCAAGGAGACACATTGTGCCTTACTCTGTTACTTCAGCCTTCCATGATGGCTCTCTAGACATCCGCAGCGTCTCGCCAAAGTATATGCTGATTTGATCGTGGTGGCAAAGTGTCTTAGCAAAAAGCGAAAGTGCTCCTACCTACCAAGTAAACGAGGAGGTCCTCGGAAAAAGAAGAAGCCCTCGATTCCTTCAGACGAGGCTGTTCAGCAAGATGATGAGCAGAGCGCCATGATCACCCCGCCGTCCTCTGGGTTCAATGATGATTGTAAGCAAGCTGACCCAAGATTGCCAATCCCTCCCAGCTAACGACGATTCAGCGCCGGAAATGTTCGGCCAGATTGACGTATTGTCAATTCCGGGGGCGGGGCTCAGAAGCTTGGACTTTTCTTCGGATGTGCACTCGATGTTCACAGATCTGTTCGTCCCTAATGGCGAGAACAGTATCCCAGTACAGATGGAACCGACCCCTTCGCCATCGAATGTCTCCTCGCAGTCTTTGGTCAGAACTTATGGCAGTGAAATAGAGATGTGAGTAACCATCATTTGAAGCGAGCTTATTACGTCCTCTGACTTCGAAAACAGCTTGAATGCTTACTACGAGTTCGTTCATAATTATTTTCCTATACTTCCGCCGAGATTCGCTCCTCGCGTTCCGGATCGACCTTTGGACGGCGTTGGTTCATTCACAGAGTCCCCCTCAGAAGAACCCGTGATAACTTACCGGCCTCAATCCCCTCTCAGCTGTGCAATTTCAGCTATATTAGCCTTAGTGCCGCATCCGAACGATATTGAATCGTCTAGCCCCGCCTCTGTGGTCCGCCGCCGAACATACGCTCAGATGTTTGCGCAAATGGCGAATCTAACTATCGAGACCGACTGCGAGCTGCAAGCCTCGACCACTGATCCTGCACTGGCGCTGTCCAACGACCGACCTCTTATTGACCGAGCTGCTTTCCATCCTCAAGCGCCCGTGGAGCTTGAGAGCATTCTGGCACTTTTGGTCCTTTCAGTCTACGAGTACACTCAACGGGGAAACCTGTTGAAAATGCGGTACCGTGCCGGTCAAGCCTTGTCTATAGCTTTGGATATGTCTCTGCATTCACTCAGCGACGATTACGATGAGTTTTCTGAAGCTCGGAGAAGAGCTTGGTGGATGACGGTGAGAAGTTCGTACCCTGGTTCTATGGTATTGGTGTCTGACTCTCAGTAGTACTATTGTGTCCTCCAAGGTTCCATTGTTAGCGCCACGGTAAGTTCACTGAAGATTTATGCATGTCCTCCGAGGAAGTGGCTAACACGCGGGTTCTCAGCCGCTCTCCATCGTCGCCAACGATCCCCAATTTGTCACGCCGTATCCACGCTTCGCTGCCGACCCCGATGTGAGTCAACCCAATTTCTTGGTAGCACTTCGATCTCTGACGCTTTTTGCAGGGCTGGTCCGTCTTGATTCAGGCTCAGCAGGTGCTCGTATCGGCAACCCAATTCGTCGTCGACCTCAACAAATGCGTCTCAAGCAGAACGAACATGCAGTACATCTTTGAAAGAATGCAACAACTCGATTCATGGGCCAGCTCCGCATTAGCACAGTCAAACTTACTCCCCATAGTTCCGCAGACTATGTCTCGTCGAGGAGATTTGGAGTCCATAACAGCTCAAAGTATACGCGCGATCTCGCGCATCAAGCTGTCAAGGTGAGGGTCAAACCTCGCACATCGAGATTTCACGCCCGTGCTAACCAACATTGTAGCGCACAAATCAAGATCCACCGCTTCAGAGCATTCTCAGATATACCCATTTTCATCAAGAAGCACTGCGATCTAACCGCAGCCACCACCACCACCACAAACTCCATACCAATTGAGACCATCGAAAGCCCAGCGACCCAAGACAGCATCACCCGGGTTGGTTGCGCCTGCAGCAGTCTCGACATGTTCCCGCAGTCCTCATCCGACTATACCCCTTCCTCCGCATCCTCGACCTCGTCCGATTTCTCCTCCTTACCACCTCAGTACTCATTCACCAACGAGTTCCCATACAGCAGCCAACACTCGGCCAAAATCTGTCTCCGGGCCTCCCTCCTGATCTCGCAGATGTTCCACTGTCTCCCGATCCCGCAGCCGCTGCTCTCGGGGGATCACCAACCATCCCCACCGGGCCTCCAGCAGCTGCTACCGAGCCAACTTCCCCGCACTATGCCGTCGTTCGCATGCTGTCTCATGCAAGGCAGCTATGCCATGCTGATGATCTTCTACAAGGCCCGCGTCGAGAAACAAATGACCCCACCGGACTACGGCGGCGGCGGCGGCGGCAGCAGCCCGTCCGATCGACTCATCGAGGAGATCCGACAGGGACTGGAACGGATCATCGCCGCGGCGACCAATTACGCGATTGCTTTCGAGGCGCTGGACGGCATGAGAGGTACGCATAACCCCTACTTGACGCCCCGGGCCCGGCGACCGTGCCTTCGCGCTAACAAACTCCTAGATGAAATCGAAGGTGCATACCACACGGCGTTCATCCAAGCATGAAGAGAGAGTCCAAATCTTTTCCTTTCAACACAACCCCTATCTAATTCCTCCCGTACATACATACACCCTTCTCCCCCGCCTCAAACCTAATGAGATCCCTTTATCTACACACCTTCTGTAGAATTTTCTTTTCGTTTCTCTCTCTGCCCCCCTTCAACTTCAAAAAGCAAAGCAAACGAATTCTGCATGCCCTGGCGTTATTCAAGAACGAGTCCGGATATATGCGTGGACTGGCCTAGTTATGGGTTTTGGTTTTTGAATCAAGCAATCTAAGCAATCCATTTATCTTACCTTGTATCTTCTGTTGAGAAAGCATTTAATAATGAACTCCAATTCCAGGATTTTCGTCTAGATGTGTTGCTGGTTTGACTATCGTGGAAATGCGGTGCACAGCGATACTGCAATATCCGGTGTTCGTAGATGATACTACTACTTACTCACCATCCATACAACCCTATACATATACCTCATACCTCATACCTCATACCTTACACCCCGAGCCAAACCAAAACAATCAACTCCAAACCAAGACTCAAGTCTCGAGGATCGAGAACCGGATATATTCCACAAGGATCTCCAGCTCAAACTCATATAATAGATTCCTTGAAGCTAAAAACAAGATATTTCTATATTCACAAAACCCGCCCGCTTATTTTCAAACAGCAGCAGAAAGAAAACCCCCGTAGCGTAAAAAAATGATGTTTTGCTACGGGGCGGCTACAATTTCGACCGGATCCCCTCCAACCGGAACTTCACATCCTTCAGAACCTTACTGGAGGGTTTCCATTCGTCGAACTGTTGGAGCAGTTCCATGGTTTCGGCCGTCAGCTCGCGGCGGACGTACTCCTCCTCGAGGAGGCCGCGCATGGCGAAGGGGAGTATGTACGGGTTGGCGGGGGAAGGGGGTTGCGTGCGTTTGATGCTGAGGAGGGTTTTGGTGGTGGCTGTTGTTGTGAGCGGGAGGGCGGTGGTTTGGAGGGCGAATTGGATAGCGAGGCTGTTTTTCCTCGCGGGTCAGCATTTCACTTGTTGCTTGTTGTTTGTTTGGGGGAGTGCAGAACATACCGGTAGACTGCGGGGTCGTCGTAGAGGCGGGAGTGGCCTTCGCCGGTGTAGAGACTTCCTGCTAACGGGGAGCTGAGTTCGCGGATGAGGCCGTGGTCTGCAATGCCGAGGTTGCGAAGCTTCAGGACGAAGCCGACTAGGTGTGAAAGACTGAGAGTGGTCAGTGTATGCTGAAGTGATTGAGGATCAGTGGGTGGTGGCATACAAGCTCGGAGCGTGGACCCTGCCGTCGACAAAGGCTGCGCGGTAGATATACGGATGGGTCACAGGGGTGAATAGTGAGGACTAAAGCGTAATTAGACTCGTTAATAACTGGAGTATCAAACAGCGTTAGAAGGTTGCATACCTCCAAGGAAACCAACTGATCGTCAATGCTGCCAATGTACGATATTCGCACCCCAAAATCTAAGCATGTGCGCAATGCCGCTTCATAATCCCTCGAAACCTGACTGTAGGGCAGGGCAAATTCGAAGAGCTCGCCCGCTGAACCACTAATCCATCGAGATCTGTAGTCGGTGAACGGGCCCAGATTGACGCCCGCCATGGCGCATATACCGACACGGGATGCATTGATGCAGCCAAAGGATATCAACTTGGCAACGAGCATGATTGCCACCGGAACGCCCTGGCTGTGACATGCAATCAGAATGAAGTCCGCCGTTCGGATCTCCTCCATCCAGTTTAGTAGCAGCTTCCATAACAGTTCCACGCGCTCGGCTATACGGCCCTCGCCTTCCAAGGCAATTTTGCCTACGTCGCATTTGTAGCCAAAGTCCTCTGCCCACTTGTGTATGGCTTCAGCTGCCATTGTTGAGAATCTGATCGACGTTCCGGTTGGCTGTCCGAGAACACTCCGTATTAGAGGAGCCGGAAAATACCCGTGTACACCTATGGCGAGTGCCTTCTTGATATGCGGCGGATCCCGGACCATGTAAACATGCTTGTTGTCGGCTTGTTTGTTATAATGCAAGTAGCGCCCTATCGTCTGGAGTATGCCCGGCTTCTCTTCCAAGGCAAATGTGTCCTCGAACCGCGGAAGCACTTGGTTTGGTAGGACCTTCTGGAGTTGTTTTGTTGCTACAGTCTCAGACGGCCCTTGGCTTGGAGCGTTGACATCTGCTTCGGCTCGTGCGGTAGCTTTGTCAAGTAGATTAGCAGTACTCTTAGAAGCCTTAGCTTTGACGCTTCCTTTCTTCACCGCCCCCACCCTAGGCTCATTCTCAGGCTCAGGTTCCACGGCAGGCTTCTTCGATGGCTCTTGAGTCATGGAGGCTTCGGCTACCTGGGCATCTTGCGACTTGCCGGGTTCGGAATCCTTCGAAGCATCTCTAAACCAGAAGCTCCACCCGGAAGCCTTTGTGTTGGGATCTAGTGGTTTAACTGGGCCATCTACCTCCCCTTGCATCTCATGCTCTTGGCTCGGTGCAGGTGCTGCATGCGGGACAGAAGATGTGGGTGTGTCGGTTCCACTGGAGGGTTCGATGGGAGTATTTTCCGGGGTCTTTGAGGCGGACGAGCCATACCACATCTGAAGCCAAGACCGCTTCTGGGCTGTCCCAGAGACCTCAGATGTTTCGGCGGACTGCTCCTGGTCTGCTTCTGTTTCTGCTACTGTTGGATTCTGGTCTTCTATCGTCCTTTCTTCCTCTTTGTTGTCTGGTGTTTCCGATGGTGGCTCCTCTGGCTTCGCCATTTGGTCTTGTGGGCCAGATCTATCAGCTGTCGATGATCCATAGAGCCACGAAAACCACCCGCCTGCTTGGGAGCCAGACTGTACACCGGAGTCTACACCTGCAGCACTGTCGCCCGCGACAGCAGTCGTGGGGGCTGTGTTTGACGGTTCGTTGCGCGTACCCTCCGCCACAGCTGAGCCTCTGTCACTGGGTGCAACCTCCTCAACTGGATTCGCTGCCACTGTAGTACGATCTGATCGGGCGTCGTCTGCCGGAGTCGACGCAGTACCATCTGAAGCTATATTGATTATGGTTGTTGTAGCGCTGGCGGGGAGGGAGCGGCTAGATGCAGTATCCTTTCGAGTCAACTGGAGAGATGGATGGCGAGACTGCCTGGGGGCCACGCTCAGTTGGGAAGTTGACGAGGAGGTGAGTCGCGGGGGTGTTGGGGAGATGTTCTGGGCGGCGGAAATGCTCTCACGGGCAACCTCGGTAACCGGGGCGGCTTTAGATGCTCTTGAAACGACCGGCCAGGCAGTTGGGTACCAGCTCTGTGTCTAGGAGAGAGGCAGATATCAGCTACACCAGCCATGGCCCCATAGTTGTTCCGGCAACGCTATGGGGAAATCCGAGACTCACCACACCGCTTCCTCTCTTTTGCGCACGAGCACGTTGTTTGGCTGTGGAACCGGAGACCGCACTGTCAATTGAGGATGTAGTCGAACGGGCATCCGCGCCTGGCGGGCTGGGCTTTACTCTCTTACGAGATCCCATGGATGGCATGGAAGTTTAACAGTGGCATCACCAAAGACGTGGGGTGGGAGGGTGTATGGAAACCGATATATTGCGGGTTAGTGGTAGGGGGTGGGTGGGGATCGAAGCATAAAGAAGCCTTCTTGTTGGAAAAGGGTGGGCACGAGGCCTTCGTACTGCAAGTAAGTATGGAAGATGAAAGACCTAGCAGGCTAATACTAGTAAATCTAGTAGCGAGAAGTGATGCCTGCTGGAAGGGGGGAAGGTTGAGGATGAGAAGTGATTTGGTTGGGGGTCGAGTTGTTCTCAAGGCCGAGGGGCGATTGGCCTGCAACTCCTCCTTCCCTCCGTAATAACAGTCAGTATGTACTGTATTCCGTACTCCGTATACTATCAGTTACAGTACGGTGATATCACGTCACATGCTGACCGTCTCTTTTTTGCGTCCTCAGGCACGGAAGCAGAGACAAACGCATCAAACAGCAAACAGCAAACTCACATGTGGCTCAGTCCCGCACCGCCACACCCAAAGACCAGAAAGGGGAAATTTTTTATTGTACTGTAAGTTTCGGGGCGGACTGTGGAGAACATTTGAAAGGCCTGGCTCAGCTGGCTGGCTTACTCGATCCATTCAAGCCCGCCCGATAACTTTTTTTTCCCGTGCATAGAGAGAAAGCAAGTTACTCCAACCAACCCTTTCTTTCTCTCTCTTTACCAACTCTTTCTTTTTATTTCGCCAGTCCGGGTCTTGACGTCGAGACTTTCTCGACCACCCGCTTATCACAATGGCGATTCAAAAGAAGGTATTGTGGAATCCCACCGCGTCTCCAGTGAAGCAATTTGGACTGACAACAACCAGCACGGTAAAGGTCGTTTGGATAAGTGGTATCGCCTTGCGAAGGAAAAGGGATACAGAGCTAGATCTGCGTTCAAGTTGGTCCAGCTCAACAAGAAGTATGGTTTCTTGCAGAAGAGCAAGGTCCTCATCGATCTTTGCGCGGCGCCCGGTGTAAGTAACCAACCTACGGAATATCTTCGATTCGGTCTCTATTGGGCTGTTGAATTTGACTCTCTTCTCCATAGGGTTGGTGTCAAGTCGCTGCAGAATGTATGCCCGCCCAGAGTATCATCGTCGGTGTCGATCTTGCTCCCATCAAGCCTATCCCCCGTGTGATCTCGTTCCAAGCCGATATCACAACCGACAAGTGTCGCGCCACTCTTAGACAGCACCTGAAGCATTGGAAGGCGGATACGGTCCTTCACGATGGTGCCCCCAACGTCGGTACGGCGTGGGCGCAGGATGCCTTCTCCCAGTCCGAGCTGGTGCTGCAGTCCATGAAGCTGGCGACCGAGTTCTTGGCCGAGGGCGGTACATTCGTGACCAAGGTTTTCCGGTCGAAGGACTACAACCCCCTGCTGTGGGTCTTCAAGCAGCTCTTCACCTCGGTCGAGGCGACGAAACCCCCCTCTTCCCGAAATGTGTCGGCCGAAATCTTTGTCGTCTGCCGCGGCTACAAGGCCCCCAAGCACCTGGACCCCAAGTTCCTCGACCCCAAGCACGTCTTCGCCGAGCTCGCGGACCCGACCCCCAACAACGAGGCCAAGGTCTTCAACCCGGAGAAGAAGAAGAGAAAGAGAGAAGGTTACGAAGAGGGCGACTACACACAGTTCAAGGAATGCTCGGTCTCGGAGTTCATCAACACCACCGACCCGATCGCCATTCTCGGTTCATACAACAAGCTCAGCTTCACACAGACCCCCGGTGGAGATCTCGCGCTCGCCACCTTGGATCGACTAGAGGAGACCACAGACGAGATCCGCAAATGCTGTGATGATTTGAAGGTCCTGGGTAAGAAGGAATTCCGGAACTTGCTCAAATGGCGTCTCAAGGTCCGGGAGAAGTTCGGCCTCGTCACGAAGAAGGGACAGCAGCAGAAGGGCGAAGAGGCCGAAGAAGTTGCGGAGATCGCCCCCATGGATGAGGAGCTGGCTATCCAGGAAGAACTGCTCCGCCTCCGCGAGAAGGAAACGTCCAAGATGAAGAGGGAAAGACGCAAGGAGAACGAGAAGAAGCGCAAGGAAATTGTCCGTATGCAGATGCACATGACGACGCCCATGGACATCGGTATGGAACAGCTGGGACCCGGCGGAGACGATGCAACCTTCTCCATCAAGCCTGTCGACCGGAATAATGCCCGTGATGTCATCGCAGCTGGCAAGGAGGCTACGATCGAAAGCGACAGCGAGGACAGTGACGACGAATCCGATATAGAGGAGAGCGACGAAGAGGGCGACCGCCTTGAGCGCGAACTGGACACTTTGTATGAGCGATACCAGGAGCGCAAGGAGGATAAGGACACTAAGCTGCGGGCCAAGAAAGCTAGAAAAGGCTACGAGGCTGACGAATGGGATGGCTTCTCGGATGAGAACAAGGGAGATAGCGACGATGAAGAAGAGGAGGAGACTAGTGCTGCGGTAAATGGCGTGCAAGCACCGAAGTCTGGATCGCTTTCCAACCACGCCGCGCTATTCTTTGACCAGGACATGTTCGAAGGTCTCGAGGATATCGATGATGTGGAAGACGAGGAAGAGGAGGAAGAAGACGACGATGAAGAGGAAGATGAAGAAGATGAAGAGGAGGATGACTCTGAGGAGGATTCTGAGGACAGTGCTGTTGAGGTCGACAACCGTCGTAAGGCCAAGCAGGCCAAGAACTCGAAGCAGAAGGCCGAAGACTCCGAGGATGAGGAGCTTGTTCAGCTCGAGGACCCGCGGAAGGCCAATGGACAGCTTGGTAAGTCTTTCTACTGTCTGTCAAGGCTATGAAGACTAACATGTACACTACTAGACATCGATATCATTACCGCAGAGGCCATGGCTCTGGCGCAACAGATGGCTACGGGTGAAAAGAAACAGAATGACGTGGTTGACGACGGGTTCAACCGCTACGCCTTTCGGGATGTCGACGGTCTGCCGGAGTGGTTCCTTGACGATGAGGGCAAGCACAGTGCCCCGAACCGCCCCATCACCAAGGCGGCAGCTGCCGCCATCAAGGAGAAGTGGCGTGCTATCAACGCTCGCCCTATAAAGAAGGTGATGGAGGCCAAGGGCCGGAAGAAGTTCAAGGCTGCCCAGCGGTTGGAGAAGTTGCGCAAGAAGTCCGCCTTGTTGGCGGATGACGAGGCTCTGAGTGAGAGAGACAAGGCGCAATCGATTGCGAAGCTGATGGCGCGTGCCACGAAGAAGAAGCCCAAGACGCAAGTGAAGCTGGTGGTGGCCAAGGGTGCCAACCGGGGTATCTCGGGTCGTCCCAAGGGTGTCAAGGGTCGGTACAAGATCGTGGATTCCCGTATGAAGAAGGATATCCGGGCGCAGAAGCGGGTTGCGAAGAAGAAGCAGAAATAGAAGCGCCGAGGGATTGTGTAATGGTGCACAAAATGATGGTTGTTGGCAGTCTGGATTCTTGTAAATACCCTCCCTCAAAATCTCACGATATCTACTGTTGTGCATTTGTTTTGCATGTGTTACTGGGAAGGTGTGTATGTACTGCACTGTATGTAGTCGATAAAGAGCACACCCACCTTGTCTTGTTTGTTTAAAGGTGAAGTGAAACAGAAACCCATAGAGATGCAGAGATGCAGAGATGCAGACTAGACTGACTCGTATCTCACTACTATATTCTTTCACGCTAAGGGAAGGATGCAGCTGAGAGGATCGGGTCCGAAGTGGCGGGCGGCAACTGGCATCAGACGGGGTCTTGGCGGACTCGAGGGAAGGAAGAAGGAAGAAGCATCGAGGATCGGGTCCGGTCCTCCTCATCACCGCCCACCTCTTCTGGATATCATTTTCGAGCACCTCCTAAGTCACTGGAGTTAATCGGCTCCGCGGGAGGGTTTTTTTTTATTCCCTTCCTCTTTCTCTCTCTCCCTCTTTGCCGCCCACCCGCCGCCCGCCGCCCGCCGCCCGCCGTCAACCCGCTTTGTTTTGTACGGCAACCTTACATTCTGCATATTATTCTTCACATCATTTACATACCTACACTACACTACGCTCTTTACTTCTTGTCCTTTTTGCTTTGGGGAAAAGTCCCCCGTACATATGTTGTACCTCGTATCATAAGTTGTCTCTTACTACCCCCTTCCCCCCTTTTACACTTGTATAGTCAATACTTGCATTCACCGTTCACCGTATTTCTTGCATCATATCACCTTCTCCCGCTCTCATACAAAAAAGTGCGACTGCGACCCGCCCGCCCGCCCGCCTCCTGCCCCTCCAACCCTCATGGGATTTTTCGACCACCTCCAAAAAGGAGGGGCCTTCTCACTGCAGCCCAAGAAGCCTCAGATTCGCAAAGTCGTCCAGACCCGAACCGCTCCTCCTACCTCCCGCTCTCCCTCGCACACGCCAGGACACAATCCCTCCCCGCGGACGCCATCCGTCCAGCTCAAAACTCGAGAAGCGTCTGGCAGTCGGTCCGTCTCGAGGGATCGCAACGATCTCCCTTCCTCATCCTCGAAGCGCCGGCATGGCACCCCCATCCAAGGCAATCGCAAGCGTCAAACCCCCGAATTGCGCCTCTCCAGCGATGATGACGCCAGCAGCGACTCTGATACTTCATCCTTCGAGGTCCGTAAACGGGCCCGGACGGGCGACAGCGCGGAGCCGGACCCTCACCGGCGCGTGCGCTCACTGAAGGCTTTCGTCGAGGACAACGGCAGCAGTGGTGGTGGTGGTCCCAGACGGCTGCCCATGATCCATGCGGCGGAGATCACCTCGGCCCAGAAGGAAGGGAATTTCAAGCCGGCGTTTGGAGCGTCGAAGCCATTGCCAGAGATTTTCCTGCAGTATCCGAGTAACTCTCCGAAGGAAAGGTATGAGAACTTCTATCAGGTTCTTTCCTCAAATTTTCTGCTTTTCGTCCCATGTTTTGCGTTTCGTCTGAACGTCGGCCTAACATGATTTTTTCCGGCCTGTAGGTATGACCTTGTCGTTCCCCGCGACAACGACGATTTCAAATCCATCGACGATATCGTTCAAGTCATCGAGATTGTGGCTCAGAACTTCATCCCGGAAGACGAGGTGGGCGAGTTTGACGATGAGACGAATGGGATCAAGCGCCGACTCCGGCGAGCCCTGGCGCAATCGTCCGAAGCGCAGTTCCGGGAAACGGTGGCCGACTATAACCATGCTATTACACGATTGAGGCGCAACGGGAGCATTGCCAAGAAACTCGATTCGATGGGCCGTCTCAATTTGCCGCTGGTGGAGAGAATCTTGAACCAGATCTACTCCCGAACCGTCTCGCCTCGGGTCGAATCACTGCGGCAGTATGAAAACGGGACTGACAACGTTTATGGGGAGCTGCTTCCTCGATTTATTAGCACCATCTTCAAGGAGACGGGCTTGAAATCTGGCCAGGTCTTCGTGGATTTAGGTTCTGGCGTGGGCAATGTGGTTTTGCAGGCAGCGCTGGAGATAGGGTGCGAAAGTTGGGGCTGCGAGATGATGCAGAATGCCTGTGAGCTCGCGGAACTCCAACAAGCGGAGTTCCGCGCGAGATGCCGGCTATGGGGCATTGCCCCCGGGAAAACGCACCTGATCCGCGGCGACTTCTTGAAGCAGCAAAGCATCGTCGATGTTCTGAAGCGGGCGGACGTCGTCCTGATCAATAACCAGGCGTTCACCCCCCAGCTGAACAACGAGCTGATCAACCATTTCCTGGACATGAAGGAGGGCTGTCAGATTGTGTCACTCAAGTCGTTTGTCCCAGCGGGCCACAAGATTCAAGCCCGCAACCTCAATTCGCCCATCAACCTGCTCACAGTCAAACAACGAAATTACTGGTCCAATAGCGTCAGCTGGACCGACGTTGGCGGCACATATTTCATCGCCAGGAAGGATAGTTCCCAGCTGAAGGCCTTTGTTGAAAGCCAAGGGTGAACGGTTCTTGGCCTAGCTGCAACAAACGGGTGCATGATTGTCACGGCAACTCTTGGGTAACGACCGCGATGATTTCTTTCTTGTATCGATGGCTCCCTGGACACACGTGATATATATGTCCATTTTTATTCTACATAGTTTTCATTTTTCCAGATCCCTCCTTGGTGTCCCTGAGTTCGATTTTGGGAGGAATACTCCGGGGCTCCAGGCATGATACCACCTTTTTTTTTCTCTTCGGACCGGCATCTATACTAAACCAGCGCTTTGCTATTTTTCATCCATCGTCAGTTTCATTTTCCGCTCTTGGTCCAGGTTGGGTATTTAGGCCATCGCGCGTGAGCCTGGATCTGTCTCTCTGGACCAACTGCTACTGTGAATAACTAGTTCATGGGTATCATTGTGCATAGAAAGCTCTGACACATATCCTAAAGAAATCCCGCCCAGCCCGATGCTTCTTGGGTACGGGGAAATGATCAAAGCAGAAACTCTTCTGGCAGCGTGAAATAAGGAAATCTCCCACCCTGTAATGTCCGCGTCCCTCACCCATAACCTCTGGGGCGTCTAGATCTACGAGAACCTCGAATTCGCATTCATGGCATCCGCCTCCTGCCCGACCTTGGCCATCCAGCGATCCACCAGGTCCTGGTTTTCTTGCTGGAACCGCGCGGACCGCTCCTCGGCCATATTCAGTTGGAGATTCAGCGACGCCATCTCGTCTTGGAAATCCTGTAGCCACCACCCCCGCATAGGTCAGTCAGTCAGTCAGTTAGTTGAAGGCTCAACATCCACCCCCCCTTGTCCTAAAAACAAACCAACCAAGTAATAGGGTGAGTGCAGCAACCATACCTCCAACAACTTCGCCTTCCCCCGCAACTCCTCATCCCGATCCTTCAACCGCATCTGCAGATGCGCGACCTCCTGCTCGAACCCCTGGAGGCGTCGCCCGTCCTGGGCGTGGCGCTTGCGGAGCCGCTCCAGCTCCGCCGTCATCCGGGTGAGCTGGGCCTGCAGCTCCGAGCGGGATCGTTGCGCCGCGGCGAGCAACGCGAGGAGGGTTTCTTGTTCTTGTTGCGGGGCGGGTGGTGTTGGTGCGGATGGGGTTGGGGGAGGTACATGATGTCTTGTGGTTGTGGTCGCACGCGGACCTTCGCCCGCTGGAGTTTGTAGGCTGGTGGTGGTGGTGGATGCGGTTCGGTCGGCGAGTTGGGTGTCTTTGGTTTGTTTGGGGTTAGATTTGCGGGGAATTCACTACTTTTTTTTTGGGGGGGTTATGCTGGTTGGAGAATCTACTTTGCTGGATACAGGCAACGAGAAAGGGTTGGGGGGAAACGGCGTACAGGCATCGTATAATGCGGTGTTGGCTTTCTCGCGGCGATCGCGAGATGCCAGTGCGGCGGAGTATTCTTCCCGCCAGTGGGCCATTTAGTGATACTGTAGATAGATAGATAGATAGTGGTGGTGGTGGGTGTGGGTGATAAGGAGGGGCGAAAGGTGGTATTGGTTTTGGTCTATATGATAAGGCAGTCATGGATACATGGTGGTGTGTTGGAGGTGTTGGGCTAGGGGTTGAGGGGATCTGGTGAGGTTTCGGAGGGTGCAGGTCCCTTGAAGCGCATGAGGTTGAGGGATGGATGATAATCGGGTGATGATGACGATGGGGTAAACAATGAAAACATGCAATCAATACTTTACTTAACGAATGCTGCAAGCAGACCGCCATCTCCACCGCCCGGACGGACCCTCGTGCAATGATCATCTTGCCCGCCCCATCCACTCATTCCATTGCAGTTCACCGTCCACCGTCCAGACCCAACCCAACCACAAACTAAACTACCTACTAAACTACACTAATTAATCTCCCTCTCTCTCCTCTGCTTGTTGTGCCCCCTTCACTCCACTCACCACCTCCCACCACCAAAAATAAACAAATCCACCATTTCTCCTGCACCCCCATCCTCCCTCGGCATCTCGTCCCAATCGCCCTTCTCCTGCCGCTGGCGTCTCCTCCATACCGCATAGAACCGGTAATACCTTACGCATCTCCACCATGTCGTCACGGAAGAAGGTCTTGTTGAAGGTAACCCGCAACAAATCATCCCCGAAAACAAACCCTTCAACGTTGCGAAAACTAATCTTCGCTCTTGCTTGCTTGTATCTAGGTGATCATCTTGGGTGATAGCGGTGTCGGTAAAACGAGTTTGATGAACCAATATGTCCGTGACTCTCTCTCTCCTCCCTCGCAGCAGCAGCAGCAGAACTGTTTCACTGACTTTCTTTTCCGCCCAACAGGTCAACAAGAAATTCAGCGCGAGCTACAAGGCCACAATTGGCGCCGATTTCCTCACCAAGGAGGTCTTGGTGGACGACCGTCTGGTGACGATGCAGGCATGTTCTCCTCGCTTTTTTACTACCAGCCTCCTAGCTCGCCGTCGTTGTCATTTCTTGGATACTAACTTATTGCGAATATAGATCTGGGATACTGCGGGACAGGAGCGCTTCCAGTCCTTGGGGGTCGCTTTCTACCGAGGAGCCGACTGCTGCGTGCTGGTATACGATGTGAACAACTCCAAGAGTTTCGAGGCGCTGGATAGCTGGCGCGATGAGTTCTTGATCCAGGCTAGTCCTCGGGATCCGGAGAATTTCCCGTTTGTAAGGGATCCCCCCTCTTTTCGGGCGGTGTAGTGTGGTGTGCGGTCACTGACACTGTGCTGGCAGGTGGTGATTGGTAACAAGATCGATGCGGAGGAAAGCCGACGGATGATCTCCTCCAAGCGGGCGATGACCTTCTGCCAGTCGAAAGGCAACATTCCCTATTTCGAGACCAGCGCCAAGGAGGCGATTAACGTGGAGCAAGCCTTTGAGGGTGAGTGTCCCCGCCCGGCCGGTTTTCCCTTGTGCTACGACTGTACTGACCCCCTCGTCCCACGTAGTCATTGCTCGAAGCGCTCTGGCCCAAGAAGAAGCCGAGGAGTTCAGCGGGGAATTCAGCGACCCGATCAACATCCACCTGGACGGTGACCGCGACGGCTGCGCCTGTTAAATACCCTAATCGCTAGACCATGATTTTGGAACGATACTACAACTCCTGTCTTAACTTGAAGAAATGCTGCGCTTCGATTGGTTTGGCTTGCGAACTACGAACTTCTTGCTCCTCTTTCCTAGCACCTGTATATACATTGCGGGTGCCTTTCATGTATCACGCTCCTGTCTCTTTCTGCTGGTTTGTTGCTCGCATGGGTGTTATTGATTGTTTCTTTTTCTGTGTGTCTCTCTCATACTGTAGGAGTCTGAGGGGGGAATTCACGTATTCACACTGTTACACTACTAGCCAGTAGTCAAATTACTCTTTAGTTGGTGGGTTGACCGTCGCGTGCTTATCGAGGTTATCTCGTGATGCTTGGCGGGATGCTATCGGGTTACACCGCCCTCTTTTCACCATTAGTACGCAGTAGTTAACTTAGTTATCAGTACTCCGTAATTTCCCCGATAAATCCTCCCTGCTTATCGCACCGCCTGCTGGCCCCGGTGCCATTTGGACTGGCTTATTGCTGTCGACGCGCTAAGCTGTCTCACTCCTTGCGGCCCTCGCTACTGCCCTCATGACTAGGTCAAGTCGATGACCCTGTTACCCTGTTACCCGGTGAGCCTTTTGTCGGCACGGTCTCCGGAGCGAGTGTCCGTCGCGGTCGCCATTTGAACGGTGTAAGCGGGGAGGAAGAGAGAGGGTTTGAGTTCTTATCTCGACATCTCGGAACCAAACAAGAACACAAGTCGCGTTTCCCCTCTTCGTGCCCTTCGTGCGGTGCGCTCTCACCCTGAGCGAAACGCGCAAACCGCACACATCCCTCCCACGATACTTCCGACAGTACAGGCTTCCTGCCCTCAAAATGGAGCCCTCAACATCCATCCCGCCAACCTCGGGCCTGACCCCGGGGGGTCGACGCACTCTCGGGATCGCATTACTGCTCATCGTGGTCTTCCTCTGGACGGCCTCGAACTTCCTGGCCAGTGTACATACCCCCCTCCCCCCCCTCCTCCGCCCAAATCCCCTCCTTTTCCGGGAGTCAAGTCATGAAGGGGTGGGGGAAAGACGACGCGAATTCACTAACTTAACTTTGTGTGGTGGGTAAAACTTAGACCATCTTCGCCGACAACACCTACTCCAAACCCTTCTTCGTGACCTACGTCAACACCTCCATCTTCATCCTCCCGCTCGCCTCGATCATCGCCGGTCGGGTCTTCCGGCTCTGGCGCGCCGGCAAGCTGTACCGGATTCGGTCGGTGCAGAGTCTGTTGCAGCATCTCGATGCGCATGATGGGTGTTTGGAGGGTGAGGGGAGACGGATTTTGGATCGTGCGGGGGTTGAGGGTAGGAGTAGGAGCAGGAGTGCTGGTGCTGGTGCTGGTAGCAGTAGCTGGGGGAGGGCCGGGGCCGGGGCCGGGGAGCTTTCGTCGGCCAGGTTGGGGTTGAAGGAGACGGCGAAGCTGAGTTTTCAGTTTTGTCTTCTGTGGGTGAGTTTTTGCTTTTCTTTCGGGTTGGTTGACGTTTGGGAAGTGCTAACGTGGCTGGGTGGGTGGGTTTAGTTTACTGTAAGTTGCGCGATGTTATCTTGTTTGCAGGGAGGAGTGTTGAGGGGGCCGGACATGTGATTGACGCGTGGGAGGTAGGCCAATTACTTTGCCATGGCATGTTTACAGTATACAACGGTGGGAAGTACCACCATCCTGACCTCCACGAGTGGTACGTTTACTGAAGAGCAACACCCCCCCCACACCACACTCTGCAAGAATGAAAGAAAAAAACCTAACGAGCAAACCTCAGGCGTATGGACCCTCATCTTCGGCGCCCTCATCGGCGTCGAACGCTTCACGCCCCGCAAACTCCTCGGCGTGATCGCCTCCCTCATCGGCATCATCATCATCTCGCGCCTCGACATCTCCGCCCCTTCCCCTTCCCCCTCGCCAACCCCAGACGCAGACCCGAATCCAGGAGGAAACAGGAGCACCATCCCCCCCAAATCCCCGCACGAGATCGCCCTCGGCGACGCCATGGCCGCCTTCAGCGCCGTCATGTACGGGGTCTACACGATCGTCCTGAAGAAGCAAGTCGGCGACGAATCCCGCGTCAACATGCAGCTCTTCTTCGGGCTGGTCGGCCTCCTGAATATGGTGCTGCTGTGGCCCGGGTTCCTGGTGCTGCACGCCCTGGGCGTCGAACCCCTCGCCTGGCCCGACTCCCCCCGCGTCTGGACCATCGTCTGGGTCAATGCGCTCGCCTCCCTCCTCTCCGACCTGTGCTGGGCCTACGCCATGCTCCTGACCACCCCGCTGGTCGTGACCGTCGGCCTGAGTCTGACCATCCCGCTGTCGCTGGTCGGGCAGATGGTGATCCAGGGGCAGTATGCGAGTGGGGCGTATTGGGTGGGCGCGGCGGTGGTGTTCGGGTCGTTTTTGGTGGTGAATCATGAGAGTCGGGGGGATGTGGTGGACACGCAGGGGAATGGGGCTGGGGAGGAGAGCGGGAGGGGGCGGACGAGAGGGAGGGGGAGGGGGAAGACGGGGGCATCGTCGGGGTATGAGGCTATTTCGGTGGTGGAGGAGGGGGATCATCGCGATTGATGGTTTGTGTGGGGTTGTGTTGGGGGGGCGGGTGTGAAGTATAGACTGCAGAGGACTTACTGGCTCTTTGCAGCGATTTCTTTGGTTCTTTGGTTCTCTAGGATGGTATCACTCACTTCTGGTAGTAGGAGGGGATAATGAGGGCGCAGCTTGGCAAATCTTTACCATGACCACTCGTAGAAGTACTTCATCCATCTTCAGGTAAAAAGGAGGTAGATAGATAGTGTACTGCACCCCAAGGGAAACAACCGACTGCCTAGCAGAAGAAAAATGTACTTGTACACCAGCACTTCCAGAAGAAATAAGAGGCGTAACACAATTCATTTCAACCTAGACTGTCCCTATCCATCCCCGCAATCTGTCATGGATTGAAATACCTGGCATCCACCACCCATCAGCATCACACGGCCAAGGACAAGCACAGCACCTAGCGATGATAGTTTCAGGTCATCACAATCAGGAAAAGCTCCAAATTGAAACCAAGTATACAGTGACAGACAGCTACTATAGGGCGAAAGGGGACAATTCCCGAGTCTCTGTATGGAAGTATGAATGATACCAATCATCACTGCCCTAGATGAAAGAAAAGAGTATGTATCAATCCGGAAGAAATTGCACAGACATCCATCACACCAAGACAATACAAAGGAGGGCGGGCGGGCTGTTCATCAAAACAGGTAGAGAAAGTCAAGAAGGCCAAGGGCTTGCTGTATAGCACAAAATACATAAGAAACATCAATATCACTGCAGTCAACAATCAAAGCCAGAGTTGGTGAACGGGTTGGGCAAAGGAGTGGATAAAAGAGTAAGGAGTCGGTTAAACTCAGACAGGAAATCAATCTTGGCTGTTTCTGTTTCTTTTCTGTCTGCTAATTGGTTGCTGGTTTGTTTTTTTCTTTCTATCTTTTTTACAACTTCTGATTACTTGTTCATTCTTCTCCTCCCTCAGGACAGTCCGGCTGCGCCTGTGGTCCCTGCTGGGGTGGGTTCGAGTTTCTTGCGCGCCACGAGGATACTCTTCAGCGATCCCAGCCATTTGGCCAGCGATTCCTCGTCCGCCGTGCAGAGGCGATAAGATTTCTCTTCCGCGATAATCTGCAGACAGAAATTCTTGGACCGGGACATGGGGTCGATTTCGGCGGCGTCGATCACTTGAGACATCGGGATGATCTTGATGGCGGAGTATTCCTGATGTTGTGTTAGATACCATCAAAGTATTAGTGAAACGAAAGAAGGCCCACCTGCTCATCCTTGTAAAAGCCCAGGCCACTCGGTCGGAGAACTACCCATAACCGCTTCCATTGCCGCATAGAGCCCTTGATCCGAAGACACTGGAGATAGCCGTTGCACACGACCCTTTCGGGATCACGCAGGACCCCGGCGTCGTTGACCCGGCCCGTCTCCCGCGCATTCGAGGACGGTCCCTCCGCAAGGGCCGATGCAGACCGATTATGCGCCGAGGGTGACCGCAGGCGGACGCTGGTGTTGCTTCCAGGCCCGTCCGACCATTCCGAGTACGAGGTGATGTCGTTCGCCGAGTGGTCATGAGGAGAGGCGAAGCGCCTCGACTTGTACGCGGGCGACAGCGCGCCCCCCAGTTCGGGAGAGCTGGGCCGTCCGCGCTGGTCGAAGTCCGAGTGGTCCGTGGTATCGTATACTCGACGCTTACTGCTGGCTGCCGCAGCATCCCCCGGTTTGGACAGCGCCAGAAAAGCCTCTTCATCTTCGTCCATCCGTGTCTCGGCGCGGATGTATCTGATCCAATCCTCGGCCTCCTTGTCCGTCGCGGCCTGGAAGCGGTAGTTCTTGGAAGGAGAGAATATGCCAAAGACGTACTGTCGGTTCGATCGGGGCGACCGGACAGAAGCGACGGCCGTTACTTCGGACAAGGTGATGGAGGCACGGAGGCGGGTGGTTTCTTCATCTTTGTACACGGAAAGAAGGTTTGGGCGGAGGACAAGGTAAGCCGGTTTCCACGAAGCTCTAAAGGCCTAGCAGCGGTATGAAGGTTAGTGTCCTGCTGGTGATGAGCAACCAAGAAAGGCAAAGCGACTAACATGTTTGTGCTTCACACGACGAAACACTTTTCCAGTCTTGATGACTCGGTCGAACTCGAAGCTACCGTTCTCATTGACGGGTGAGAAGGTGTCAAGGTTGACATGACCGTTGCGATAGTGGGTGGGATTTGGGGTCGGCGATAGGAGCGTGGAGGACCTCTGGACTTGACCGTCGGGGAGATGGATCACGGGCGCTCGGGCGCTCCCCTCCATAATTGGGGGGCACGAGGTTGAGATAGCCTGGGTCATGATGCCTCACGAACCGGCCGAGGGGGTAAAAGGGATGTGGAATTCCAAGCCAGGATCAATCTGGTGTATGTGCGACGGTCGCGGGAAAGGTTGCGACGGAGCAAAAGGAGCGTTAGGTTCTTCTATAGTTTCGTGGTGCGCATGTACGGGGGAGACCAAGAAGGGGTCGTCATTTAGATGGTCGAGTTGCAGTCGGAACAGAGGATGTCAAGGACAGAGAGAGTATGCGGTCGCGAACACGGTGAGAGGAGGATTGCTACCGTAAGGCCATTGAAGTTGGATCGAAAGGAGAGTTGGGCGAGTTGAGTTGCAGTGGGAAGCAACGACGATGAAGGAGGGAATGCGGCGACAACAACAATAACAACAACAACATCAACAATGACAGGTATTATCAGCAAGTGGCATGACCCAGAGCTGCACTCCGTCACCTTTCGCTTTCATACATAATACATAGAGAGGGGAAAGAAGAGAAGAAAAGGAAAGCAAGAGAGAGAAGAGGATCAAATGGAAGAGGAAATTCAAGGGTCTTTCTTTTCTTCGTTTTTTTTTTCCTGGTGGAAGGAAAGGGGTATCTATCCGAGAATCTACTACGTACTACCGACTACTGACTCCTACTAGTAGTAGTTCGAGACTTGAAATCGAAGAGAGGGGGTCAACATTTTCCCTGCTTTGCTAACGGGACGCATGGACGTTTTTGCCCTCACTGACTATTCTGTTAGAAGATCATCGGGTTCTAGTCCAGACAGTGTCCAGCCAGTGTCCAGACGGTGTGGGTGGGGGGGGGGGGGCCAATTGTGAGAGTGAGACCTCGACTGACTCAAGCTCCTGCAGTTTCACCTTGAGATGAACCACGAGCAACGTCATCGAATCATTCATCTTCAGGATTGTTGTTGCTTGTAGTTGTGGTGGTTGCTGGAGTGTTTGAGAAGAGTCAAGGGGGGTCGCAAAAGTAAGTTAGTTAACCAGTTAAGCCTTGAAATGTTCCCCTCGTGGGACGCAAAACCGCCCGCCACGCCCCAGTCCAGGGGTTGAGAAAGGGCAGCTGATATCATGAATAATCTTCGTGACGACAAGCTCGTCTTTTGAGTTTCTCCCTCTTGAATTTCCCCGACATTCTTGGTCTATGTCTCCGTAGTTGCAGCAGTGTAAACAATCATCCAACAAGCATTGACTTGCTCGATCCGACCGATGGATGCAAGAATCCTAAGGCTTCTTAAGAATAGCGGAATGCCGGAGTATGTATGCAAGTGCCTTGACCGCAACGCAGATCCCGACGACCCGACATGGCAACACCAGATGCTTCATTCAAGGGTTGAAAGATACAGTAGTCTACATCATGTCCGTCCTTCACAGTAACTGTATGCAGGCTGCGTGTACCTACATAAAAGTTGCGAAGAGACCTACCAACCGACAGACCCTGGATGTGACAGCTCAACGGCGAAGCTTCGGGGTGTCCTCAACTAGACCCGATCTTAGATCTGCACGATGTTCCTTGGCCAAACATGATCACATCTTCCAATCGGACATGCAGATGCAGATACTCGGTACCAGCCTGGAGAGGACTTTTGCTTCCTCTGAGGCAGTCTCTCTCACACACACACACACAGCCTGAGCCGGTCGATAGAGATCTAAAAGGCCACCTTGACAGATCCCCTTAGGGCCTGCTGACCTGGGGTCACGTGTGGGTCCGTCCAAGTGGACACTCAGGGTTCTGGATGCATAGATTACCGGTACGTATTACCACCAGGAGCACCACCAGCCCACTGTTACCATACGTGACAAGCTCAGCCGTGTCGGCCCGAATCCCGCCGGTTTTCCAGATCAGGAGAAGGTTCATTCACGGGCTCATGGAAGATGGATGGATGGATGGTGAGATAACATGCGACACCAGCTGGGAAAACGCGACCTGCATGAATCAGGTTGCTGTTGAGCTGAAGCTCACGGCTTTTCATGAGACGAGACTTATACTTGTTGTCGCGGTGACTGCAGGCACAGTTTCATTCCTTACTTACCATGTACTGTACACACAAATAGCGAGGGTGGCCAGCATGTCTGATTTCGGTCGATGGCTGTTCATGGCCTGGCTGAAAACGTAACCCACCCACACCATCTATCTTCGACTGGGTTTGACCACTCGCACAAGCAAAATGGAGGGGAACGTATTGTTCTTGTACTTGCCGTTCAAAATGGACCTGTCGAGCCTCTGCACGAAAAAGAAGTCGTGTGAAGGTCGGGCGTCGTCAGCCCCGGAAACTCTATGCGGCTATTTATGCTCTTAGGGAGTCGACACGACATCGTGGCTCTTTATATTGCAGAGCGGTTACGAAGTTAGCCTGCATCGACCTCTGACGACAGCTGCGCCAAGCCAGGTAAGAACCGTGAGAAGGGGCGTCCCAAGATGATCATACCCAGGGTACAGTGTCGCAAGACGTAAATAGAAATTGTACTCCGTAGAGACTGGGTTGATGTTGATCGCGAACTCAAACTGTTTTGCAAGATCGAGCGGCGACTGGCGTCTTCTGTCGACGTGTCTTGCAGGTTAAGCTTAAGGGTCTTCTGGTCTTCTATGCACCCAGGGGGGCCACGCTGCCTTACCCGTCGCAGACCTCGACTCTTATCCAGAAAGTGGATGTTGGTGATTCCACTGTGAATTGTGATCTTGATTGCTGCGGGTATAGCAGTAGAAGATCCAACAAATGTTTGCCATTTCGATGACCAACTAATGTGGTTGATTGATGAGAGAAGGTATCAGATAGGTAAGGTAGGGAGTAGTTAAGTAGAGTCGATAGCGAGGTCAGCATTAGTATTTTCCCGCCTGCAATTGCTTGATGCTGGCTGGTTGTTTTCGTTGGCTGGCTGGCTGGCTAAAGAGGGGGGGGAAAGCCCATACTTAGTGGTGAATGAAAAGGGACGGTCTTAATTACCAGATGCGTACAGTATTTATCGTGTCCACCAGGCCGCGACTCCCGACTAAATGGGTAAATTACCGTCTGGAACCCGGAAACCGCTTGCGCCTCCTTGGACTTGGCGGAAGTTCCAAAGCCATTCCCATCCCCAAATAATCCTGTCGAGCCTTCATTTCAATTCGGTTTGCCTCCCGCTGCTCTCGGCCTTCTCCTCCTCCTCCTCCCCTCCCCCCCCTCCTCCCTCCTCTTCTTCCTTTCCCCAGCCTCAGTTCAAACCCGCCATCTAGATTCATGATCCCGTCTACTGGTTCCGTGTTTTCGGCCTCATTGCTGCGGACCACTGTCCTTCGCGTTCCTGTCAACCTTCTCCCCGCCCAACTCTATCTCGCCGACTGAGAGGGAAAAGTTCGCGAAAAAGGAGGCTCTCCTCCGGCCGCTCTTTTTTTCTCATTTCGTTTCGCTTCGCCAAACCCGGGCATCCGACCTCTCTTCTCGCTATATTTATTCTAATTGTCTTTCGGGTTCTTGTCAAAGACGCTGGCGGACGAACGCTACACACCTGGCTCCCCTAATCACCTCCCACATCACTTCTCGCGTGTGCGGGCGCTTGCTTTCTATCACCGAACTCCACGATTACAAATTGAAAAGCGGTTCTGGCTCTGAGAATAGTTGCTGCTGAGTGCATCGGGCCTCGATAACGTTGCCCTCGACTGGTTTCTTTGGGTCTCCCGCCTATACACCTGGTACCAATGGGCCTCGTTCAGCGGGTCTCAAAATGGTTGCCCTCCACGCCGAGTCTGCCCCTAGATGACTCTTCGCGCGAAAAGGGCCGCAACCTCTCCAGATTCGCCTTCTTCAGACGGAGAATTCGGCTAAAGGGCAATTCCTCGATCTCAATACCCCTGGGATTTGTTTTATTATTTCCATGTCTTGTAATAGTTCTTATCCTACTCCTTTTTGTTCGACATCCTTCGTCTCCTGGGGGTATCCTGATTCCCGCGGGCACTCCGCCTTCGATTAGGTGGGTTCTGGAAATGGCTCTTCTCTGTCTACTGTCTTTGCTAACCGCACGATCACCGCAGAAAAATCAGTGAGAAGTATGATAAGGTCTTTGCTACCGGCTGCCTTCCCGTGGAAGAGCAGGACTCCCCTCGCGCAAACGCCGCTTTTGTCGTCCTCGCCAGGAACAAGGAACTGGATGGTGTTGTACAATCTCTCAAGTCGATTGAGAGACACTTCAATCGCTGGTTCCACTATCCTTATGTGTTCCTGAACGATGGCGACTTCGACGATGATTTCAAGGCCACCGTCAAGAACTATACGAGCGCCCCTGTGGAATTCGGAAAGATCGATGACTCTATGTGGGGATACCCCGACTGGGTCGACCACGAGGTTGCCAAAGAAGGTGTCAGGAAACAGGGTGACGCTGCCATCATGTACGGTGGAATGGAGAGTTACCACCACATGTGCCGCTTCTACTCCGGGTGAGTCTCGCTTCTTTCTTCAAGGTCCTTTCTTATACTAACTCGGGTTGTGCGTATAGACATTTCTACAAGCACCCCCTTCTCATGAAGTACGAGTGGTACTGGCGTCTTGAGCCCGAGATCAAGTACTTCTGTGACATCACCTAGTAAGACGACGGCCTGATAGATCGCATTTGATGGAATGCTAATGTCGACCTCAGTGACCCCTTCGTCAAAATGGCCGAAAACAACAAAACGTATGGCTTCACTATCGCCGTCAAAGAGCTTCGCGAGACCGTCCCGAACATTTTCCGCTATGCTTCCGCCTACAAACGCAAGAACAACATGGAGTCGAAAGGTCTCTGGGAGATGTTCCTCGAGAAACCGGAGGAAGAAGAACAGAAGCCAGAGGAAGTCAAGCAAGAAAAGCTTCCTGAGGAGATTCTTTTGAACGAACCCGGCGAAAACACTGTCCCCGACATTGACCCCGAAGCCATGGAAGGTGAAAAATACAATATGTGCCATTTCTGGAGTAACTTCGAGATTGCGCGCCTGGACTTTTTCCGTAGCAAGGAATATGAGGAATTCTTCGACATGATGGACAAGAGTGGTGGTTTCTGGATGGAGAGAGTATGTGCCGTTCCACTTTCGTCTTCCCGTTCTTGGCTAACTGATTTTCCAGTGGGGTGATGCGCCGATCCATTCGCTGGCCGCCGGTATCCTCTTGGGCCCTGGCGACATCCATTACTTTCGTGACTTTGGCTACCGCCACACCACCATCCAGCACTGTCCTGCGAATGCCCCCGCCCGTCAACTTCCCCGAATTCCTTACCTGGAGATGACGACCGATGACGAAAAGGCGCGCTTCGAGGAGGACGACTACTGGGCCAACCCGGACCCCGTCAAGGAGAATGGCGTTGGCTGCCGCTGCAGGTGCGACACCGACATTGTGGATGTCGAGGGCAAGCAGGGCAGTTGTCTCGCTGAATGGGTAGACGTTGCTGGAGGGTGGGCATCTCCTTAGACTCTGATTCTTGCCCCTTAATGTTCGCTGTATAATCTTCGCCTCCTCGTTTTCGTACCTACTTGTTCGACTATGAGCATTATTCGGGTCGCCCTTGGAGTTATTTGCTTGAGAGCCTGCATGTTACGTTGGCTGTGGGTTTCTGGACGGCGTTGCACGGATCTGACGGCTTCTTTCCATGGAAGACGGTGTGACCATTCTCATCAATCTTGACAAATTCATCTAGCGTGATTCGTATACTTCCATTTCGTTGGGATTGCCGCGTTCGCTATAAAGAGATCCGAATGTCACTGACGGTCTCGTTATGAAATGTCAGAAGAAGCCCTCGGTGAAGACTCGTTGGCCAGGATGCTATCCACTCCGTTGCTGCACGGCGGACTTCTGCTGAAGCTTCTCTCATACTGTGAGCGCAAGGCTCCTCGAACGCTGGCGAGAACCCACTGCGCGCTTTTCCGTGGGCCTTATGACATGACCACTTGCTTGATGTTCGTCGATAGGCTGTCCTTTCCCACCATGTCTATTGGGGAACCCAGGATGGCAGAGGTGAGCAACCACCCAAGCTGGTCTTGAGGCGCTTCGAGGGCGAGTGAGACCGGGTGCATCAGCACTGATATGGCAGACAGATTGCCATGGATCCATGTGGCCTTTTGAGGGTCACCACCTAATAATAAATACCCTGTCGATGTCTCTTGTCTTATTCCCTTGTTCCTTTCTTTCCTGCTTTCTGTCCCGATGCTATTCAGGAAGTATTCTGGTTGTCTGATTTGTTCTCCCCTTTCCCCTTCCATCATCCTTTCCCCTTGACTCTTCTCAATTCACTCATGTCATGAAATGTACATACCTCATAGTCACTTATAACATCCAGTGGATCATACCATTCTGATCATGACTCCGGTAGTAGTTGTTTGCAGATTAGTAATAAGGAGCTGTGCTGACTGTCGGACGGAGATCTACAAAACTACCCTTTGGGACTAGTCACCTGATAACGGATGGCTTATCAGCAGCGCAGGCAGTTTTGCTCTCGTTCCGGGCAGTTCCTACCCTCGGAGCTGACACGGAGTATACGATGGAATTGATCCAGACAACCCGAACGAACAACACATGATGAGGTAACCAACTGTTCGGTTGGTTGAATATTCCCAGGCTGACGAGTAGTACGTCCTCCTATTAACTAGGTAGCGAGGAGATTGCTCCGCCTGACCGACCCTTCATGTCTTACTACCGCGTTATCCTTGTCATGTGCCCCGCGCATGATAGCTTGCCATCAGCCTGCCACTGCCACTGCCACTGCCACTAGTTAACTTATCATTCATCACTCTATCACTCTATCACTCTATCGCCCCTACTCTCGTATCAGCCTGTCGACCCCTCATCACTCTTCCTTCTTCAACTTCCCCCTCCCCTCCGAATCCCATCTGGTCCACCTTGACTGCCGTAAACCTCAAGATTTGCCAACTTTTGCCTCGCAGAGTGAGAATCACTGTTTCATATTGAGATCTCTCATTTATCCAGTCAAATGCCCATTCACATCTAGTTAGTCCTTAGGCACCCAAGCCGCTCTTTCTCCGCCCGGACCCTCGGGAACAGCACCCCAGTATCCACCACTTACTACTACTTACTTGCCCCCCCCCTTCCCCACGCAAACGCAACGCAACGCAACGCATCGTCGGGTCTAGTTGTTCGTCGGGCATCTGCCTATCAGGCTGAGGGATCTCGAGGAAGCTCTTCGGAACAAACTGCCCTCATAGTAGTTTCTGACCGCTAGAGCTCCTCTCGTGAAGTTAACGTATTTACTCCGCTGACTGTTTGTTGTACTTATTCTTGGGCTTACCCGTTGTCCATTGTACTCGACCGCAAAAAAGCTTCCGCTCTGCAACTTACCTAACACACTACCTCATTTTCCTGCACCTGTCTCTATGACAAAATCACACTAGCATCATGACTGACCCTCCGGAGCCTTCTTCCAGACGTTGCCAGAACGACTCGGCCGCTGCTCCACCTCTGCAGTACCCTACGTTCCCTCCCTTGAGTGCTTCTGTCGAAGAGTGGCTATCTCGATCGAGGCCTATCAACATGACGTCAAATCTGCCAACCACAGACCAGACCTCACGGTCACTGAGTGAGGGCTGGGCCACGATGAGCGTCTCCGATATATATTCTGAGGATGGTACCCGCTCGGAACAGACCGATATGGGGTCTCTGATCGATCAGACTGGTCCTGACGATGTGGCCAGCCTTGACGAGACCTCAAGCAACAGTGAAATCGATGCCAGTGATGATGACGGATACTACGGTGAGAATTATGAGTCGACGAGCAATGTGTCGGCCACGCAAGAACTGTCTTCTGGTTTCCCTTTTCTCGGGACCTCGATCGATAATAGTAGCCTCACCACCCAAACTGCTTTCCGCCAGTCGACCGAGTCCATCGAGTTTGCTGAGCCTGAGAGCTGGCCCG